CTCAAATTCTTAAAGCTTATCTTAATCAATTTCCATTAAAAGTCTAAATAAAGGAAAACCCTAAAAGAAAAACTAAACAAAGAAAAGATAAAAGACTGATATTAAAAACCTCTGAAAAAGAAAAAAAAGAGTATCTGAACGAAGCCGAATTAAGCCAAGGAAGGAAGATCCAACAAATAAATGTTCGAATCGATTTTCCGCTGGCATTGACCTCATTCCGAAGAAAGTAAAAACTGCAAGGGCAACTCCCTACTTTCCAACCAACCACTGTAGTCCCGACCCGTCCCAACAAAAAATTCCTTTGTTAATAAAAATTAGATCGACTTCTAGAGTTTTTAGATACAACAAAAGATTTCCTAGACAGTTTTGCTTTTTAAGTGTTTAAGATAGAAAAATAACATTTAAAAAAGCAGTTTATTGTTAAGTTTGCATCGCAAAAATCAATTTTAAAATTTTAAAAAATTTGTTTTAACCGAAAATTAATTTTAATCTTATAAAAAAATTTCGATGTTTCAATCTTTTATCTATGAACCAGGAAGAGTGAATGCAGTGGCTTGAGTTGGTCAGGCATCAATGAATTTAAGAATGAATGATATATAAATATCAGGTTGGAAATGAAACAAATGAACTGAGTAATATAAAAAACATGTTTGGAGATGGATGAGTATACTTTTCTTCCAAAAAAAATTTATGGTTTTATTTTCTGAATTAAAATATAAATAAGGAAAAAGATTTAAAAGAATGGAAAAGAAATGTTGGTCCAACTTTTCATTAAATGGCTTTGATTGGATAAATAAATGAATTACAGAAAAAGAACGAACGGATAGAATGAATATATGGATTAATTACGGTGAATGAATGAAAGGAAGAATGAATGAATGAATGAATGACAAGAACAACCAAAGCACTGACAAATGACATGTCTAACCTTGAAAGAATTCAAACTTTAATCTTATTTGGAAGAATAACACCGAATACATCGAGCTCAACGCCGTTTATAATTAAATAAAATTATAAACGGCGTAAAATAAAACAGAACAGAGCTGAAAACTTTAGAATGGGATATTCTTAATCCCGATCGATTAATTAATCTGGAGATTAATAACAAGAGAAAAGGCATTTTTTAATCTCGAGATTAAGAAAGAGAGTGGATCAAGCATTAATCCCGATATCCACCATTCAAAAGTTTCCAGCTCTGAGCTTTTTTTATATTCAAAATCATTGAAATCTACGAAATGTAAATGAAAGAATATTGAAAAAGACAAAATCATAAAGGAAAATTCTAACATTCTCGAACTAAAATATTCATTTTCCTTCAATTGCATTGATTGTTTCATCGACTATATTTACATCATGCGCGTTCCAGGGTTAAATTACGCATAAAGTAAGCGCGCAGCGCACGTTTGACCATATAACCAGCTGATAAGCACAGCAGGCTAATTGGAAACATTCAGTGAAATCTCAGTGCTGAGGACGCGCTTTAAAATGGATGCTTTTTATACAAATAAATTCACGCGCAAAGAATAAGCGCGTTCCGACAATGCGCGTGGAATGTATAAAGGGTGTGGCAAATTCTTTTGTAAAGAATCTCTAAATTTCGACTTAAATTTAAAATTTTGAATTCAGGTTTAGGGGGCCGCAGGGTATCCCTGTTAGAATGCCATTCAGCATACGCAATATCTACGCAATATTAAATAATGAATACACATTTAGTACGCAACAAACCGTAATTTATCCCCCACTCCCACCTATTTACATCACACCCTAAAATCCTTAACTTTTTATAACAAAACGAACCAAATTCCCACGCAAACAAATTAACGCAAGATAAAATGTACATATATATATTCAGCTGTTTAACACGGATATTTTTTGTGTATATAGATCCCATACACAACGGTAGCATTTAAACCAGTATCTGAGCAACATCGAGGAAGATTTCGTTTTTTTTCTATTTTAAAAACGTGTTAAATTCTGATCGCTTCAGACTGGATCATGTATGTTTAAAGGCACGGTTTAGGATCGGACAGGATAACTAAAAAGTACGTCTACATGCAATGGTTAAAATTGAGCAAGTACCATCCCTCAATGCAAATTTAACATAAATTTGGCAAATATGGTAAAATGCATCAGGGTCAAAATAGCACGTTGATTCATACAGGGTGTCCCACATCATATTAAATCATATATAGCTTTAAATTAAGATTTAAGGGATGGATCTGGAAATAAATAAATCGATATGACCAGGAACGCCCTGTAGAGGGGGGGGGGTAATATAACATCAGGCTAACCTTCGACTGGGTTGGAAACAAAATTGCCAGAAACATTTTGCTCAAGTCACATTTTTGTTTAATTTTTTTTTCCACAGGAGGAGGGGGAGGGGGGTCCTTTTCCTCTAAAAAATATTAAATTTAAAGAGCTACCCCCTCCCCCAGGTTCTAGAGCACCCCCTCCCCATGGTTCAGCCACCCCCTCCCTCAGGTTCCGTCAGGATTAAATCCTGCCTCAAGCATTCTATTTCAAGGCAACCTGCGAACTGTAGACAGTGTAGACGCTGGACCCTAATTACAGAGAGTGCAGTCTCTTCAACAGTAAAAAAGTACCTCCTCCCCTTTACCCATTAGACAGGGTGCCAGAGGTGATATGTATAAGCTACTGGTCTTATCGCTAAATAAGAATAATAGATTTATTTATGAAAGGTTGTCTAAAGTCTAGAAACCATCATTGTTCCATAATTAAAAATAAATATTCTTAATATTCTCGGCTAGCTCAAATCAACAGAAAATTACGCCAAATTAAACATTTTTTTGACTTGAGAATGAATTTAACTATAATTTACACCCAATTCAACATTAAAATTAAGGAGTCATTCCTGCAAAACAATGCAGTAATTCATTTAAATATGAACTTAAATTTCCAAGTATAAAACCTTAATGGTATGACTCAAATGACTCACTCACAAGAGAAACCGTCCTCACTCCGTGAATCATAGTTCTATTTTAAACTCGCGAAATTCGATTCCTCAGAAAAATGAAAACCTTTTAAACAATATCAAATATCAAACAATGAATATTAAAAAAAACAGACCTCAACATTTTTATTTTTTAAATCGAAAATTTTAAGAATTTAAATTCTACCACTTGAAACCATTTTGACACAATTATTCTTGTAAACGCATTAATATTTCTGACATGAACATTTTAAAACAAATTCCAGGAATCTTTTTTTAGGGTGTTATTAAAGTAAAAAAGTATTAAATCTGACAAATGGGGGGAGGGGGGGAATAACCAATGAAATGAAAATTTAAAGGGTATAAATATAATTAAAAAAACTAACCAGTGGAAGTGGTTTTCAACCATGGAGATCATAGCGTACTGTACATTCTTCTGCTCAGCGGTCAGTTCCATCGGCATACTCTTCTCGAACTTAGCGGCCAACCTGCAGTACAATAAGGTTAAACAACCTGCAGTACAATTAGGCTAAACAACCCGCAGTACAATTAGGTTAAACAACCTGCAGTATAATTAGGTTAAACAACCTGCAGTACAATTAGGTTGAACAACCTGCAGTACAATAAGGTGATATAAAGGAACTGCTCGGAAAGTTCAATCAGAAATCAGAATATTTTTCATCTCGGGATCTACGGGTTAACAATTAGTTCCTCTTTAATATCCCATGATGGTCAAATCACATATTTTTAAAAAATGTATTTATTTTCAAGGATCGGACACTTAAAATAATATTGAAAGGACTAGGATTTCGAGGTGGTTCGGACGAGAAAATGATGAGAATGTGGTTCGGACTAGAGATTGATGTGGTTGGCCTTCCTCCCGTCGTAGGAGTGTAAAGGGGTAAAATGCCTATTCGTTTTTTCTCCAAAATCTTCGAATATCATTTTAATTATTTTTGTTTCTCGGATCTCACTTTTTATTTCAAGTATTTATGTGCAAAACAATAAACAAGAAAAAAAATGTTAAAAGTTACGTTTTTTAGAGAAACCTTCAGGTTCTTTGCTTAATATGAAAATTTGGAGCAAACCCTAGAGAAAACCAATACGATAAGAGGAATATTTATTTAGGTTTAGGAATCAATATCTGATTTGACATGCGGTTCAGGGTTTGGTCGATTTACTGGTAGATATCTAGAATACTAGGTTGATATCAGAGGAGAGTAAAAATAAAGGAACTAAAAAAATTGTTTTCCACTAGAACAAAAAAATGACAAAAGAGGATAGATAGAATAGAAGATATGTTTTTTCAACCTTGACAAATAATTAATTCTGACTATTATTCTTTGTTTCTTGTATGCAGACAATCCCCCATTTGAAAATAATCAATTTTCAAAATGAGAAACATAGATAGTGCACTCTTTCTTGATCAGACATAAAATTTGACAAGTTCATGACAGACATGAGCTATATTGACATAACATCTTTCAATAGATGTGAACTAAATTGACAAGTTGACATAAAATTTAACTAGTTTATGACAGACATGAGCTATATTGACATAACATCTTTCAATGAGTGTGAACTAAATTGACAAGTTGACATAAAATTTAACAACATGAAGACATGAAATCTGATTGAATAAAGAAGAAAAGGAACATATACATCTTAAGCAACAGACAAAATTTTTTGAAGACATGAATGTTTATATTAGATGTTCATACAAACATGAACCAACATGAGACATGCAGACATGAAATCTGACAGAAATTAGACGAACATTATTTAGCCATTGACATGAAATATGTCAGAAACCTGGTCTTATTAAACGTTACTGCAGGAGCATAGTAATTAGTAGGATGCGTGCATATTACTAATAATACTCTTGACAGGAGGGGGG